CTGCCACAGCCACTAACATTACATAAAAGCCAACAGCGTGTTCTACAGGGACAACACAAATCCAAAGGAGGCTGTTGGTCACGAACAGTCATTATTTAATGCTGGTTACATCTGCATAAGGTAACAACAGGATATCCTATATGAGATTGTTCACCTGAAGACTGGTGTTGCAGAGAATAAATGCATACTTAATTTTAGAACTTTGGCTTTTTACATTGGAAAGTATTTACCTTTAGAGAACCTTAAGCTGCTTGTTTAACATTTACTCTGTACCTTTAATCAAATGGTAAGGTTTTATATAACCATTAAACAAAAAAATTGTGGTAAACAAGTTTATACTATATTGGTACATAAAGGGTTTTAGTCTTTTTTAATATAATTTCCCTCTAGATAATAACATGCAATTGTTTTCTATCATTTCCCCAGACCCAGACTAAATGCCTTTAGGCAAAATTGGGGAGTACACATTTATTCTCTCACATTTTACTTAAGAAAAAAAATTGTTCTTTGTATAATGTAGTCATCATTTAGAGAACACATAAATCTTATGCTGTTACTCCATTCATAGGGTTTTTTTTCCGAACTGCCATGCCAAATTAATCCCTGGTGCAATATTGTGTCACCAGTGAAGCTGTGCCACTTACTTGCTTGGACTCTTTAGTTTTAATTGAAAGATTTATCTTTGCAGTTTCTTTGTCTTCCGTACATGCATCCTTGGAAACCCTGACTGTTTTGCCGTTATTGTCTCCTTTATATAGTTTATGCTTTCCTTCTTTTTTAATCATGGTTTCCTTTAATGGAACACACAGAAAGTTTTCTCATATAAGAAAAATAAAAATCTCACTCTGATTTATACCTGACTCATATAAATACAGTTATGCAACTTTATTTAGCTTTGTTGTGTTTATTACGCTTGATTAAATAATTTGTTATTGATAATGAGTAATTTTGCAAGTTGTATTATAATAAAATGCAATAGCTTGTTCTTCCTCATGCCAAGAATGTCGTAGGTGTTGGGATCATTGAGGAATAGAGGTGGGGGTTTTAATTGCAAAGATCCAGGTTTGATGAATATTTTAAATACTTTGCCAGTGATACTGTACACAGAATATCCACAAGAGGGAACTGTTTTACATAGAGAGGAGCAATTTCCTTGCTGCTAAAACACTGTTTTCTGGAACCAAATCCTCCAGAATTATGTTGAGTTGGCATGATTGTGTCCTTGACTATGCTATATGGTAGAACAGGAAAAATAGAGGTAAGCACAGTGTTTGTTATGTTCTGTAAATAGTACTGTTAAATAAATTTTGAGCTCTTGTGTTGAAATATTAGATAGACAACTAATCTGAAAACTAATACGTGACAGTTTTCTGTTTGCTTGGAATAGATCTTTCCAGGAAACAGAGCTGGAAAATCCTGTTTAGTCTGAAGGCAACACGAAATGCCATTGTTGCCTCAACAAACGAAGCATGTAGCCACAGGCTTTCTCAAATTCTGCTTTATAAAACCTACACTAGAAAGCAGGCCTTTCCTGATTCATAAAGGAGTAAGCTCAAATGGGACATTGTGAGGGATATTCCTTCAAGGATCATTTGTCTCTATGAATAGGTGAAAAAATACAGTTACCTACTTTGCTTTGTCTTTCACAGATAATTCCTCTTAAGCAAACTTTTCACTGGCAAGGTAAGTCTCACCAGTTGATATCAATATTTACTTTTTAGTGTGAGTTTCATCATAAATATTTGGAGAACTGAGCCATATTTATGTAAATAAAAGTTTTGTTTATATAGAGAACAGAAAAGGTTTTCCCCTGGATATACAGTGTGTATATAGTATATACATAGTATATATAATGTACGTGTTTGTTGGTTTATGAATAGTTTTTGACCATAAGAACTTAAAACAGCTTTTTACAAGTGATCACAATAAATCTCCTACCCTAAGTCTGTGTGTAAATCTTGTGTGAACACGTTCAAATCAAATTATTTTAATATACAGACTATATTCTGTGGTGTTCTTGCTTTGCTTTAGTCTGAATTTTTCTTTAGGACTGTCCTTTTTGGATACAGTGTTATGGGGATGATATTTTAGAAGTGCCTAATGATCTTGTTCGCATCCGGACTGCTCTTCAAACTGGTGTCTGCAGCACTGAGCTGCAGCAGTACACAGAGTCAAACAAATACCTTTAAACTCATATACCTTCTGAATGCATAAAGCAAAAAAACATATTTTCAGACTGCAGCACCTCTGTCAAATCTTCTGGGCCATCTCAAACAACAGCAAGAGAAGACATATGTCATGTCTGTGGCTTCAGAGACTCATCCCTTGTTATCTGCCAGACCAGAATATATAAGAAATTTCATCATGCAAAAGCCTTCCCTGGGATATGCTGTGCAGCTGCTCTTCATTGTCCCAGTCTTTCAAAGTGCACAGGGTTTATGGTTTCTATTAGCTGTAAGAGTGCCTGTAAGTACCTGGTGCTTCTGAAGATCAGACCTCAAGTGGCTGTGTTACGATGCTCCTGCCCTTGTTCCACTCCTAATGTTTGCTGATGGATAAAAGGATCCGTAGGTATGTGTGCAGCTGTGAAAAGGGTGCTGCTTGAACACCAACCCGGGAATGCCGAGCAAATGACCATCAGGACTAGGTTCTGAGCCCAGGACCCAAGGTGTGTGATCCTGTCACAACACTGCTTTGTGGCCCAGGTGACTTTCCAGCTGTGGAGAGGGTTGGTAACGAAAAGACATGTAAGGGGGTATCAGCTGTGGCAGTGCAGTCTGGGGTTGCATGTGGCAGCTGTGACATGCAGTTTCTTTTCAATCTGACTTGTTTTCTGTATTTAGAAATCTTCAACTTAATACCCTCTTACAGCAGTTTCCTGGGAATGGGCTGCATCAGGTGCGCTACATAACTGACTATCTGTTTTCCTCTAGGACAGAGTAATATAGTATTTTTCTCACTTGTATACACCTCCATATTATTATCTTTCTCTATTCAGAGGCCTCTGTTAAATGCCTCTTGAAAAAGGAAGCCTTCTCTTGAAGGAACAAACAGGAGGAACAGACTGGAGTGAGACATTATGATAAACTCATGGAGCTAGACAAATGGTGGTGTTATTGCACGAAAAAATTGGGGGTGAGAGGGCTAGAGAACCCCCCAAAAAGCTTTGAGAAGTTATAAAAACTCATTACCATCACTTAAGTAGAAAACAAAAACAAACCCCGGACAGATGCAGAAACAGAAACTACTAGTAGTAAAGGTTAAGAGATTACTATTTCATAATGGTGGCTCTCTGCTGGTGTAGCGACTAGATAAGATGGGGGAATGTCACGCACACAAAGGCTGCTGTATTTTACCCTTGGAAAGCTGTCAAGAGGATCTGCATAATACTTTGTACAGACAACTCAGTGAGCAGACCATGTGCCAAACGGAGATTTTGATTTATATATAAATAAATACATCTACAGACATATAAATTCCTCTGCTTTTCAACGTGAATCCGAAAAAAAGGTAGGAGACAACTAGCCAGATTTCCTTGCTGGCTTACCCTCTCCCCTCCCTCCCCAAGCGTGTAATTTTAAATTGCTATTTATATTTCTAAGGGTTAATTTCAGGAACGTTCTTGGGATGCGCGGCAATTTACGGTCTGCTTTTGCGGAGCGCGTTCGCAGTACTTCCCCGTGTCAATTAAAGATAATCCACGAATGCCTTTAGCGGAAAAAACCCCACGCCACAGTTCCCCGATGTTTATTTCACGCTCCCTTACCGCATTTCCATGCCAGCCCCCCCCCCTGCCCCGCCGTGCGCATCCCCGGGCACCTGCTGCTGCAGCTCAACCTCCTCCCGCGGGCCCCGAGCGCGCCCCTCTGTCCCCCCCTGCTCCCTTTCCCTGCTCCGCGGCTGCAGCCCCGGCCCCGAAGGCGCCGTTCCGGCCGGGCTGCGGAGGGGACGCGCTCGCCCATCGCAGCGGGGGAGGGATGCGGGAGATGGGATGCGGGAGATGTGCGCGGGGGCCCGGCGGGGGCCGGGGCCGTGACAGCGCCGTGCGTTGGCCGCTGCGTCATGACATCCTCCGAACCGGCCCCGCGCACGGCCGGCGCGGGGGGGCCGCCGCCGCCTGCCCCCGCCCCACCGCGGCTGCGGAGAGCGCGGAGAGCGCGGCGGCGATGGACGCGCCGGGGCCGGCGGGACTTGTTGGACCGGCAGCTCCCCGGCGCGGCCGGGCACCGCCTCGCCGCCACCTGTGAAGCGCCTCGGCGACACATAGCCCCCACCGCTCCCGCCTCGCCGTCCTCCGGAGCGGTCGCTCGGCGCCTCGGCGGCCCCGGGAGCGGGACCGAGCGGCCGCGGGGCGGGGAGCGCGGCGGGCGCTGCCCATGGGGCGCCGGGAGCCCGCCTGAGCCGGCGCCCCCCACCCGCGGCGGCAGCGGCAGCGCGGCACCCCCGGCCGGCCCGGCACCCCCGCCCCGCGGGGCCGTGGATGCGCCCCCGGAGGGGCCGCGGCTGCAGGAGAGGGGCCGTCGCGTCCCCCGGCGGCCGATAGGGAGGGGCGGGAGCCGGCGGCGCCGCTGCGCGTGTGGGAGCAACAGCCTGAGCGACAGCCGGGCCCTGGAGAGAGCTCCCGAAGGATGGGCGAGGAGGCGGCGGCAGCGCACGCACAGATGGGCCAGCGGAGGATGAATTAGGAGCCACAGGAGGCTGCTACCGGCACCGAGGGGGGAAGAGGAGAGGAAGGGGCTGGACTTGGAAGAGGAGGAGGAGGAGGAGGAGGGTGCGCGGGGGGGACTGAGTATCGCTAATAACAAGTTAAAGACTAATAACAATAATAACAGACCACCTCCGGGAGGATCCGCGGCGGAGGCTGAGTGAGGGATCCCCGCTGAGGGCAGCGGGGTCGCAGCGCTGGGTATCTTGGAGAGACGCTCCGAGGCATCAGTTTGTGGTGGTGGTGGATGATTTTTTTGGGGTGGGCGGGGTGGGGGCTGTGTATGCGGGAGAAGGAAGGGGTGGGAATCTGAGGAGGAGACTATATTTTTATTATTATTTTTAATTTTTTAAACATTATTTTCACCGTACAACGAGGACGCTCGGAATTCACCGGCCTGACGGCTCCCGAGAGGGACCCGGGAATTGTGCGGTCGCTTTTCTTCACCTGCTCTTTTTTTTTTTCTTTGTTTTGTTTTGTTTGTTTGTTTTGATTGGGGGCTTTTTATTTTTTATTACTCTCCTTATCCGTTTCCCGCTGAGCAGCGGCGGCGGCAGCAGCAGCAATATGGCTGGTGATGGGTTTTTTGGGGGGCGCTGGCGGCGGGAGGAGCTCTCGGAAGCCCCTGCGCGCCCGGCTCGCTGTTAGCTATGGCAAATGGCAGCGGCGGCGGCTCCTACCCGGGCGGCAGCGGCGGCGGCGGCGGCATTAGAATGAGTAACAATATCAACGCCAACAATCTCAACACAGACTCGTCCTCCTCCCCCGTCAATGTGCCCAAGATGGATGCGCTCATCATCCCGGTGACCATGGAGGTGCCCTGCGATAGCCGCGGACAGCGCATGTGGTGGGCTTTCCTCGCCTCATCCATGGTTACTTTCTTTGGGGGACTATTTATCATCCTGCTGTGGAGGACCCTCAAGTACCTGTGGACTGTCTGCTGCCACTGCGGGGTCAAAAACAAGGTAACTCCCCCTCCCTTTCCCCTTCTGCTGCCGGTGATGGTTTGGTGCGGTGCTGTTGGTGAGGAGTAGTAGTAGGAGCCCAGCCTTGTAGACCAGGACACCTAGGCGAGGTGGCACTGGAGCGGACGCCGAAGGGCTATCGTTGGATGGCAGTGTGCTGTCTGCTCTTGTGGTAGGGTTGCCATGGGCTGTTGGGAGCCGTGGGGAGTGTGGCTGGAGGTTGTGAGGTGCTGAGTGCAGTCCTGAGGCGTCCCTGTTCCCCCCGTTCTGTTCCACATAGGGGCTCATTCGTTTTCATCTGGTGGCACGAAAGTTGCACCTGGTGTTCCCTCACTCTCAGTGAGGCACATGCTGGTGTAGTGGCACAGTGTGGATCAGAAGTTTATCTGCACCCCCGGGACCGCATATGATGGCGGGGTAGGAGCTTGCCTTTGCTGATCTAAATTCTCAGTTCCCTTGTGGAATGAGAAACTTTGAGAAATTTACCTTTTCAACTTTGCCACTCAAGTAAATATTTTTAAAGCTAGCTGACAATCTTTGATGCTTCTGTTTGTTAAATTAAATGTGGCTATCTAGAGGTATTCAGTACATTCATAACACGCTAGATCAGTATTCTCTTAACCTAAGTGTGAAGTCTTTGAGGCAACCTCACTGCCTCTTCGATTTTTATATATTCCCAGCTGGAAGAAAGCATGGTATGTGAAGGAAGTTCAGCTCCTGTTTTGAAGGGTCTCTTTTCAAACCAAAACTAAGACTTGCTCAGGTCCACACTTCAGTTTTTGATTAAGACAAATGGGATAGAAAGTGTTAAGACTCTGTATTGTGAAAGTGGATTTTGACAGACCCCAAAATAGACCGGCAGCTGGAGTTTCTCCCCTTCCCTTTTCACATTTTTTGAATTACAAATGGAATAATATCTGCTTCAGTTATTCCTGGCACACAGACACCCACAAAAACATACACACCTTTTAATATATGGTTGCTAGGTTGCTGGCTTGCTTTGACATACAGTGAGCTGTCTCCCCCTTTCTCCTGTCCCCTCCCCCCTAAACACACTTGATACAGCACATAACCCTGCTGTACGAAGGGTCCAACATTTAGGGGAAACCAGAAAAAAAGTTAGAGCCTGCGAAGTTAAGGTACTTGTTTGTTGTGTAGTTTGGATTGCCTAAATGAACCTCCACATTCCAGTTGGAAGTTAAACTATTACAGTGAACTTGGCCTATGTATGGGAGGAGTGATTGCTAGAGTTAAGGAATAAAAGCTTTTAAGTCAACCTTAAGCATCAGGAATCCTACCAGGCAGTACTACTTCTCTATAGGCAATTTTTATTTCATTTCAAACCAAAGCTGAACTTTCTTAGAGAGCTGTCAGCCAGGTATGATGACACAGCTGTAATGAATTTGTGATAATAAGATACCAGTTCCTACAACAGTAAAAGGCAATTTTCAAGAAAGGGTGAGTAGTTAAGACTTACCTTTGGTTTTTTTGAGTATTTAGCATTTTCTTCTCCATGGAATGAGACAAATCTAAAGGGGCTATCAGGGATCTGGATGAAAAAGAAAATTCTTCAAGTTATTACCTCGTGCTCCTTTCCTTGAGAGAATGAAAAGTTACAGACTTGTACACAGACTTCTTCCATGTGGTGTCTTGGTGGGTATTGTTGATCAGATAATTCATTAGTGGGAGAACAGTTAAAGCAATCAGTGGTTTCTTAACTGGTATAGAAAGGCATATTGGAATTGTCTTTAAAACCTCTTAGTCTAAATGTGTCAGTTTGGTAAGTAACAGGCATCATCGAGGGGTTCCAACACTTCCAGTCTGAATACTTTCACATACTATTACTGTGTCAGGTTGTAAGACTTGAGTTTATTTCATCTTTGAGACCTGAAGTAGTTCTCTGTATGTCATTCCCTGGGGCGGGAGGATAAAGGACTCTGCAGGTAGGGGGAGATATATGTCTCTTTTTAGATCCTATTTGTTCCACTTGTAAGGGTTTCCAAGACTCTGGTGAAGAAGAACTTTCAAGGGCTGATCCTACATTCATTATGTGGTAAAATGGGGAATTGGAGGGAATTCTCTGTATGCAAGAAGTAACTAGTTATTGCAAAACACTTTTCTAGTATTTAGGGTATAAAGGGTAACTGAAGTAACAACTGGAAATGTCTTAAACTTTGCTTTTATCAAGCACTTGCTTTTTGCTGCATGGTGACTTGGGAAAGGCTGCCGGTGAAAAATGTGAATTCTTACATATGCTATGTCAACTCTATTGGGCCTGCTAGCAAAAGCAATTTTAGAAGAAGTAGCTCCTCCTACTGTGGAATTGAAGAAGTTTTCTGCATATTAGGCCCTTTCCTTCCCTGTGTTGCCTCTTCTGCTGCTCCACAGGTTGCAGTGGAGTTGAGTTATCCAGCATCGTCTCATGAGCTACATAAAAAGCAGTCCCAGTGAGAGAACCAAAAGAAATCTTTCTCATGTCTACTTTCTGTGGCTTCTTATTGAATAATTCACATATATATGTGAATAATTCAGAGTTACTGTGCTAACACTCATGTCCATGTGTTATTGCAAGGAATTGCAAAAAATTTCATTTTTTTCTCCCTGCTATATTCTAAGCACAACATTGTATTCCATGGATTTGTCAGTGATTGTCAACTTGACTTTATTATGTAACACTTTTTAATGACTACATAGAAGTGTTTAGGATGTGGTTTGTTTGGTTGTTTTTCCCTCCTTAACTCATTCAATTTAAGGTTAGAATTTAAAAACATGATATAAACAGTTTAACAATTTATGGTATGAAATTTCATTACAATTTTTTTCTTGGAGATAAGAAAGTCAAGATGCTGTAAGTCAAGAATATGCAAACTGCTAACAGAATGATCAACATTTCCCCTTAAAATTCCATATCTAATTTATGTAATTGTGTATGAATAGAACATTACTCTTAATCATGTACTAAAAATGATTGCTGAGGTTTTAGAACTTTTGTGCTCCACACTTGCTTTGTGAGTTGACATTTTAAAAAATCTGTCAAAAAAAAATGTAAATCTTGACCTGTGTTGTCAGTGTTTCATGTAATATGTCAGTCATTACAATTGAAGCTCTTGTATTCCTTTATTTAATATGGTATATAATTTTAGATGCAATTTTTCAAAATTAGCTACAGTCCAATGGCAAAGACTTAAAAAAGGCTGTTTTTCTGCTCAGTGTTTACATCTACATTTTTAGCGATGCCTAGATATTGTTAAAGAACTTGTCTTGTCATTGTTTTTTCTTTATCCCTTGACCAACTCATTTCTGTTTGTGTATGAAAAGTAGAATGTGAGATTGAACTTCATTGGGCTGGTCTCTAATACCATTAGTTGCTCTTGTTTCTGGCAGTAGCAGAAAAATAAAATAAATATGCACGGTGACGCACACAGTAGACATAGAGGCTAAATGTGTATTATACAATCTCTAGTTCTTTTGATTATATGGATCTCCCTCTGCATTTTCTATGCTCTTGAAGGGCATTTTCTACTGACATTATCTGATACCATATTTTGGCTTTGAACAAACTCTAAAGCATGAAGAGGGAGCAGTGGAATGCGAGAGCACAAGTTTGGGGCTCCTGGAGCCAGCCAGTGCAGAATGAAGTGGGATTTGTACCCTTCTGAAGAGTGTGATACCAGACCCTTTATCATTGCCCCTTGGTTCCCCAGTGAGTGATACCTCTTATGGACCTTTTGTCATCGAGGCTCTAGCAGGTAAAATGTATCCTTATTGCGATGCTTTCAGTGTTTTGAAGAGCTTTCCTTCCCCGTAACTCAGGACTTGTACACATATAAAATGAAATTATGTTATGATTATGGATAGCAGTTGCTAGCCTGAACTTACAAGCTATAATAATTTTCTTTGACATTGGTCTACATATTTTTGAAATCTAATAAATTATACAGATTTGGTCAGTAGAAACCAAGCAACGTTCCCATTTGTTTTGCATAGAAAAATTCTGTTTTTACTGGAAATACAATATTTGCAGAAGTCTTCTTTGAAAAGTTAAAAAATTTAACCCAGAACTCCAAAGCCTGAGAAAATTTGTAAGTGGAAAAATTAAAGTTTTCCTTAAAAGAAGCAGCAGTCATACCAAGGTGGCTCTCATATATACTAAGTTTGGTGATTTCCAAGCAGTACCCGCATAAATATCCCTTCCAAATAAATAAACAAATTTGAGGCATGACATATTGAGAAAAGCGTGAGAGTACATTGGAAGACACATGTGGACACGTAACGCAGGGGATCCCTTCATTTAAGTCTGCGCGTGGAAACCTCGCCTTGACTCTCTTGAAGATGTACCGAGCTGCAGCGTATGATGAACAACTGGAAGGCTGAAGGGATTAGCAGTGGACTGTAATGCATTTTGCTTGTTAGTCACATGCACAGCCTGGCTCAGTCATCCCTGTCTCATGGCTATCAGGTGGTCTGTGCACAATTATTCTGCGCGGGTCCCCCCGGACAGGTTGCCAGTTGAGAGATGGCCATGGTGGAGAGGTCAAGTTCTGAAAGAAAAGGTACTTGCAGCTTTTTGCAGATGCTGTTTCTACAAGTGAAAAAAGGCACCAATATGGAGAGGTGTATGCTGCTGTTTTCCGTGCTGTGAAAAGGAAGATACTTTTGACTCTCTGGAGCTCATAATGGATTTCACATTTTATAAACACACGCTCAAATTGGTTATGCACGCAGAAAAGAAAAGGTACAGACAAGGATTTAAGCTATAAACCAAACATTCCCTACCTAAATGTTCTTTGGATACAGTATCATACTTATTTTCAAGGCTTTGCAACACATACATTTAAGGAGAAAATCTGCATTCAAAAAGAATGCGCAGTTCTCACATGTTTGCAAATCTGTAAATGCTGGTTGGAAGCCATTAGATTTCACATTTTTTCCAGTTTAGCTCAATAGAAGAAATGCCTATAATAGCAAACAGAAAGCTTTTAAGTAATAATGATACATGT